GGTTTAGTTGCAGGAGTGCTAGAGCTGAGACAGATATCTCGGGCCTTGGTAGAGTTGACCAACCAGGCCTGGTAGGCCAGACCAGAGCACGTGGCATCACCAACAAACATATTTGAACAGCCTGTCGTCTGAAATGTGTTGTCAATGAAACGCGCTTTGTCGATACCATCGATCAATTGGGCTTCGAATAAGGTCTTAGACAAGATGGCGAAGACAATTGCCACAATGGCAATTACGAGACATACTATGGCTAGTACGAAGTAGACCCAAGGATGACATCGTAAAGGGCAGCGCCCCCAACAAGTATACCATGCAGCTTTGCTCATGCTACTGTGGATATCAAAAGCACTGAAAAATGAGTACAAAATCTCAAACTAACTCTGGTGACGAGATCTGTTCCCAATGATCATTGACCATCGAAAAATTGTCCGAAATTTGTCCACCATCCAGCTAGACGCTGATGAAAGTTAACCAGAGAATTCTCGACTAGGGAAGGTGAATACGCGGAAGGACATTGTGCAGAAATGACACGTAAAACGCCGAAAAGACCCGTAAGGCACCGCACTAAAATTGCATGCGTCACGTTCGGAAGAGAAGAGATTGTTTCTGCTACGCCATTGTGATCGATCCACACCTGCTAATCAGAGGAATAATTACCGAGTGTCACCGGATTTCACCGATGTCACCTAATAAAAAATAGTGCAAGTGCATGTAAACAGTAGAAAACGGCGCCGCGCGAAGCGCGGCGTTAAGAATTTTGTAATTGTTGTGGTGTAGTGGTAAGTGCAGGCTATAGCATGCTAACGAGCCAGGTTCGATCCTTGGAAGGCTCATACTTTTTTGTATTTGTTCATTAAAGTCTTATAACGTACTTGCTCTCTCTCTTGCGTCTTGTGTTTATCAAGTAGTGTTAGTCTTTAAATACAACGCGGGGACCAGAACTCGAGACACGACTAGTACTGCAAACTCGACACATTATTGCGTGAATTCGTGATGAAGAAACACTGATTATTTGCGTCTGATTAAGCATAACAGTCATAAGCATGAAGCATTAAAGCATGATAGTCATCATAATCCCAGGACAAACAGTTATAATCGACAGCCACGGAGGTTTTCGAGGACAACACCAGAGCCGTACCTGTGAAGACAGTTAATTGTGTTAATAATTATCCGTACTAGGGACTCCCTATAATTAAAAAGCTGGAGAAAGGGAGATTAGCAACGTCGGCGCTCAACTACACTACGATATTGCAACCCTGGGAGTTGGAATATCTGTTTGGCTTTCTGTCCACAACATCCTTAAATAATTCTTTTCAGAATATTCCTCTTGTCACCTACACAAACATGGAAACACGTTCTAACACTCAAGCTCAGGCAAAGGTTCGTGGATCTCAGCATCGTTCTCTAGTCACTAGTAATTTTCTATTAGTAACCCAGTAACTTCAGTATCAACGAGAAAAGGGACAGCTCTCAGCACAGCAACTTCAATGATCATGCGTAA